CCTCCTGGTGGTGGGGGCGCTGGTTGAGAACCCCCCTTCTTTGATCGACATCCTCCAAGACAGCCCCAAGACGGCCCCCAAGGCTCCCAAGAGGTCACCAAGAGGGTCCCAAGAGGGCCCCAAGAGGCGCCCAGGAGGTCCCACGAGGCCCCCAAGAAGCCCCCAAGAGGCTCCCAAGAGACCCCCAAGAGGACCCAAGAGGCTCCCCCAAGGCAACCAAGAAGTTCCAAGAGGCCCCCAGGACCGCCAAGAAGCCCCCAAGACGCCCCAGGAGGACTCCGAGAAGCTCTGAAGAGACGTCCGAAAAGACTCCGAGAGGTATACAAGAGGCTTCTGGCCATTCTGCTTGCCATCCCCCCCTCCTCCTCCTCCTCCTCCTCCTCCTCCTCCTCCTCCTCCTCCTCCTCCTCCTCCTCCTTCGTCTCCGTCTGTTTCTCCTCCGCCTGTTCTTCCTCCTCCCTGCACCAGTTTCCACCTCCCCATCCCGACAACTTGCCTGGCTGGGCATCATTTCTGGATGGGCTGGTGGGGTTCCGCGAAGCGTCTAGAATACGCTGCTTAAATGGCAAATCGGATTCCATTATTCCATCCACTTCTCCGATCAGACCGCTAAATTGTATGGTCCCTGGTTTCCCTTCGAATCAGTACACGAAAAGGTCTTTCATACTGAAACCTTGGCCGTTTCTGCGATCTATGCTCCACACTTGCGTCCCGACGACCAGCTGAGGGGGTAGAGACGGAAGATAACGCGACGTTCTGCACAGCCGACAATGCCCTGATCATGCACCTTCTGCGGACGACGCTCCAGATGTTCCAGCCTGCCCCCAAAGATGTTCCTCCTCCCCAGTCCCTCCTCCTCCTCCACTCGCGAGGGGGGAGCAGGCAGGGGGCCTGAACGACAGGGTACAAGCAACAGAGTGAAGAATGAGCGGCAACAGTGGAGAGAAGGAGCCGTTCGGAGAGAAGGTGCAGAGGGAGCTGCAGGCGAAGGCGAAGGGGAAGGAGAAGGGGAGGGCAAAGGCCAATGGCGAAACTCGGGGAGAAGGCGAAGGCGAAGGTGAAGGTGCGTAGAGGAAGAAAATATGCGTAAGCACAAACTTTCGGAGGTCCGCGCGGACCGTCGAAAGTTTATGCCTATGCCTTGTTTGATCCCCGAATACTTGTGAAAACAACATGCACCGATACCGCTACTCTCTGGACCTCTCCTGGGGTGCGTTCTGACCAGGATTTCCAGGCGAATCCAGCGGTGTCGACGAGGGCCTCCCCGGAGGCCCAAAAACGGGAAAACGAGGGAAGGGTAGCGGTATGGGTACCTCGTTTTCCTCTCAGGGTGGCCTGGGCCCTACTGGCAGATTTACCCGCCTAGATGGGGATATGGGCCGTTTCCTCCGGGCTTCGAGGGGTGTATCCCGAACTGGGGTGCTGAGATGGTGGGGGTCTGGATCGGGATGGGGATGGGGATGGGGAAAGTGTGGGTGAAACGATACTGAACATTGGTGAAGGTACCGTTAGGTCGGGCATGCCCTCCTACAGGCGGATATTGGGAGAAAAATGAAAAATAGCCTCCAAGCATACCCAAAACTGGTCAACAGTGGCCGAAACATCGCCCCCAGACTGTTTTGTTGACTACTCTCGATGCCTACTCTCGAATCGTCCTCCTGCAGCGGCAGCCCAGACGGCCTCCGACGCCCTGCCTCTCCGTCGGGCGAGGCCGCAGGCGTGCCGGCACGCTCCGGACGCCGCCGCCCGTCGGGGGGCCGCGGGCCACTGCCGGCAAGGGCCGCCGCTGCGGATGGCCTCGACGGCCGCCGCCCGCCCTGCGGCGGCTGGCCGCCGCTGGCCGGGGGACGCGCTGCCGGGCTCCGGCGGTCGCAGGACTGCACTCCCAGGCGGCGTTCCCCCAGCAGGGGTCTCCACACACACCCAGACACAGGGTTCAGCACAGAGGTGTCCACGCGCACACACACACACACACACACAAACGCACAGACACACACACACACACAGACACACACACACACACACACACACACACGCACACGCACACACACGCACGCACGCACGTACGCACACACACACACACACACACACACACACACACGCACACACACACACAGACACCCACACACACACACACACACACACACGCACATACACACACAAAAAAAACACTTGGATTCCTTGGAAATGATTTTCATGCGAACACGCACACACACACACACACTCACGCAAGGGCTCCACACATATAGGATTCCACACATGTACACACAAGCACACACAGCCGCACACGCACACGCACACACGCACACACACACACACACACTTTTCCGGCGCGCCGATGGAATGCAATTAGCGGTTCTAGCGAAACGAGAATGGGAAACGAACCCAGTTAACTACCAACTTGTGTAGCAACGCAATGGGCTGAACCGATCATTCCACATATACACACACACTTTGCAAAGATAATGAGAACACATGTTATATAAGTTGCCTACCTAGG